CAGATTAACATCTTCAATTTTCTGATTCAATGGTGCTAATTTTTTGTCAAGGATGGCTTCCAAAGCCTCCACTGTAATTACTGACATGACTAAGGCGACTAGAACAACATATAACATAAAAAAAAATACTGAAGATACAACAGTTTTGGCAGAGCTCACAAAATTGCCGCCATCTTGTACACCAACCACTGACCGTACCGTATAGAGTTATCATATCACGTTGAGGCGACCCAGGTGTATTTGTTTCAGACCAAGTATCCATGCCACGAAGAGGTCAGTTGACTGCAAGAGCACAATATCACAGGACCCCCATGGAATTGCCTCCAGCTGTAATGCAGGGGAATCGACCACAATAACTGTTCATCATAATTATTACTTTTTTGAAGAGTAAAATTTGATAAACTTTGTCTATGTTTCTAGTTCCATAAATTTAAGAAATGTTTGAAAAAATTCTCAGTGATTCCCCCTCACAAGTTCAGAAACAGTTACACACTGTTGGCAACATGAATAGTGTAATTTTTATTTGTAAATCTATGTTGATAAACCCTGACAAAATGTGTCTTTATTTATAAGAGATAAAAGCCTTTTACAAAAGCAACTTACATTTTCATTCATTAGAATTTTACTTCACTTTGGAACTAGCTTTGACCACTGCCTTTTCCCACACCCCTTTCCTGGTGAACTCAATGGTCAAATAAAAACCAATCAAAAGAAAAGTAGTGGAAAAACGAATTTTGTTTACAGATACCTCAAGAGATGGGTCACTTAACAGTGGATGCACAAACTTAGTTAATTCATGTGCTATGTATCCTACTTTCTTGTAATTTGATGATGCCATAATGTATACCGCAGTGGCATTTTGGTCATGCAGATTGTCTGGTTCTGCCTTGAGATTGACAAATAAAGGCCTGTCATGTTCATACAGGTTCATATGATTCCTTGAGTGCTTTCTGCCTGTCTGGTGAATGACATGTTCCCAGAACCTTAAAGGGCAAGCGATGCCTGGTTGAAATACATGAATCATGTGCCACCTCAGACTCATCAGACTCCTCTTCTTCATTGCTTTCATCATGAACACCAGAAATGTGGTCATTGGCAGCTGATTGTTGGATAAATGTGTACTTCTTCCCTTCCATTTCAATATGACAGTGAGAGGTGTGACAATAGGTATTGTTCTATAGCCTCGACACCAGGTCGAGTGATGTGTCAAAAGAGAAGCTTTCCTTAATAGCTATAATAAAAGTTATCAGTTGGCTTTAAAATGGCGTTCGACTGCTTTGATACAAACGACTCGAAACATGGTGTCAGATAGTCAGTATTAAACGACTCACATCTCCAGTTTAACCTATTCAAGT